AATGATCAATGAATAAAGGTTAATAAGAAACTGGTTAAAGATCTGAGTATGGGTAAACGTGATAAAATGCTTAATAAAAGCCCGAGTGATTTCTCATAGTCAGTCTATTTATAAAGTTTATTTTCTTTATTTAGAGATATATTTATTTTCTCGTTCTATTGTTAATTTTCATAAAATTTGCAGCTCTTTGACAAATTTGAAAGTTTGTAGAAATTCACTGAATCTATATAATAATAAGAAAACTATTTAAATATGAATCTATATTATTTACATATCTTATATGCGATCCCGTTGTACATATGCTGAATATACATATGTATATAAGAGCCAATATGACACATTTCGGCTCAACTTGGAGCTTTTGTTCTTTGAACATGATAAACAAGCAATAAAAACAAAAATTTATCTTTGTTTTATGCGAAGCTTTAAGACGTTGCGACAGTTATAGCTGGAACAGCAACACTATATGCTTAAACAGTCTAAGATCTATCTGGAAATATATAACCTGACTCATTGCTGCCCCCCTCTACAAATGCCTGAAAGGGAAATGCTTGAATTGATGTGGCCATATTGCCACTTGGCAAGGCATTTAGATTCCTCTGGACTGCCTGCCTGCCTGGCGTGCTCGCTCTATTCCCTATGCATGGCATTGTTTGCATTCAAGAACAGTCCGCAACATATGTCAAGTACTCACTTGGAGGCAGGTTCACAAATGCAAAGTGGCACGAGACAAAAGTATGTGAATAGCAATATGTGGCACACGGGGCACAGTCTGCGACAAATGTCAAGCAGCTACACAAAGGGGAACACATATACCCGAATGCACATACATAGGTATATAGCTAAGTAGACATAGTGTATACGTATGGACAATCTGGAGGGAATTACGTATTGCCATAGCCGAGACAGGGCGGACACGACGATTGCTTGTCAATAATTCGTTGGGGAATTCGCTGCTGATGATGACGCAGTTGCTCCCAGCTGGAGGGCAGTCATCAATGGAATGAAATAGATGCCCATTATATACCTTTAAAAACACATTTGAGCACTTCTAATGAATTAAATACAAAAATGTTATTTGGCTGCGTAAAATGGTCTGATAAGAAATATGTATGTATGTATGTGTATAAGTATATATGAATATATTTTGATAAACGCTCTTTGTGTGTGTGTGTGTGTGTGGCTCTTATCGTCGCGTGCTTAAATATGAATTATTGTGATTGTTGTTGTTGATTTTTAGTACATGTATTTAAATATTTTATACTTAATATGGACCAGTCGTTCCGGCATGTGCCGGTCACCGAAATACGCTCCGGAGAAATGCGAGCCATTACATTCCAAGTGGATGCCACCCACTTTTGTGTTGTTTTTGTTTTTTTTTTTTTTTAATAATATGTTTTATATCTATATTTTGTTGTTTCTGGCTCTCTGCACTTTTCCATTGTTTTTGCGATTCAACGGAAATTCTTTAATGGGCGTCTGCGAGGCAATCGGAATCTTCGCTTCAATTCGCAATTGAATGACGTAAATCTCACGCAAAAATTGTTGTTTTTTCTCTTTCTATTTATCTTTTTGTTTTATGCCTTTTTTAGGGCTCTCGACTGTCGATTGATGGATTTGTTTTTGTTGAAATTTCTCAAGGATTACTTTTCCTTTGGGTGCTCTTAATTTTGATGGATCGTAAGACACATGATCATTTTTATGCGATATTAATAGTGTGTTTAGTTAAACTTGCATCAATACGTGAAAATAAACATGGTAATATATATGTATATATATATTTGTTCAAGTATTACGCACAATGCAACTATTATATTAGCTGTAAAATATTCACTATATATACAGTAAAGTATAGTATAGTAAAGTTGACAACGAATCACAGATTCGATTTGGTTAACGTAACATTTTGATGTATTAAATATAATAAATAGTAAATTGACATTTGAAAATTTCATCAAGCAATTTCATACAAGCGATTCTCCATGGGTATATACACAAATACAACAACACACTCACACACACACATAGACCTGCACATTATTTGTGAGCCGAGACGCAGCTGAAGCTAACGTTGTACGTGCCTCGGCAAAGGCAAGAGCAAAAGCTTTCGATGGTTTTCAGTTTAGATCTGAGATAGCTCAGCGAGTGTCCCAGCCATCTTGCTAAACTTGCTTATCGGCCACGATAAGCGATATTTATTTACTTGGCTTTTCACTCTTGAATCTTGAATCTTGCCAGATCATCATCTTACTCATTCTCTCCCCTTCTGTATCTCCGTTGATTTTTTAGGCAGCATGACCATACCGACGAGACCAGCGCCCGCACCGCCAATGTCACGTGGTCAGAATGCAGCAGCCGGCGCGAATGCGAGTCTGGAGCAGCTGCGCCAGCAACTGCAGCAGCAGCATCTGCAGCAGCAACAGGCCTCCAATGGTGGACTGCCGAAGCTGAGCATTAAGCTGCCGCCGCCACCGAAGGGTCAAGTGCAGCCAAATAGTTTTCACAAGAAGCCGACAGTCAGCAACAACAACTACTTTGATGTGGAGGGCAGCGGGTCGAGCATAACGCGCAAGTTCCCTCAGGCACGATATACGCCGACAACCAATTGGAACGATGCCCCATTCGATGGCGCTTCCGCCTCGGCTAACAATGGCAACACTTTCAAGAAAATGCCACCGCCACGACCGCCACCGCCCAAAGTTCAGATAAATGGCCGTAAACTGGCTAGCTTGAGCTCAGGGAGCATTGGGGGTGGTGGAGGTGGCGGTGGCAGCAGCCATGGCCATAGCATTATAAGCAACATTTTCCATCGCAAGAAGTCGTCGGCCACGGCAACGACTGCTGCTTCCAAGGCCGCAGCGCAAAGTCGCGTCTACGGCCTGAGCAGCGGTCATGCCGTGTCCTCTACGACGACCGCATCGGCTGCGGCTAGTGTGTCCAGCCAGCTCACGAATAACTCAAGCACGTACGATTGGAATGCAGCCTGGAATACGGCGAGCACAACAACCAGTAGCAACGCAATGAAGAGCTCCAGTAGCAGCCATCGGGAGACGGCAGAGGCCCAGCTAATCAGCTTCGACTCGCCGCCTTCATCGCCCACTTTTACGCAGAAGTCAAACAGCGACTGCGTCAGCGTCGACAGCTTCAGCTCGGACAGCAATTTCAGTTCACCCAACAATGGCAGTGTCTCACAGCCGGAGAGCGGCTTCGAGGATGACTATCACTCGCGGTCGCGGCCCGCCACACAAAGTCCGCTAGCTGATCCCTGGGAGGCGGTGGACAGCAGCATCTACAGCGGCGGCGTCGATAGTTTCGGTGCAGCGCCAGTGCGTCAAATGCATCCACAGCTTTCGGCACGCACCTCAGACAATCCACTGTGCAACGGCAAGAGCCTGCTGCCGCCCACACAGTCGCTGACCATGCCCACCATCATTAAGCCGAAGATATCGCAGAAGCCTAAGGCACCCAAGCCGCCGCCATTCATTGGCCAGCCGCCAGCATTTGCCTATGGCGGCTACAGCACACCGCCATCGCCACCCATGCCAAAGTGCGCCCCACCGACTCTGCCGCCGACCGCTGCCTCTTCTGCGTCTGCAAACATTTCGCTGCTGGATGTCATATCGGGCAAAGTGGATGCCCTGGCCCTGACCAATGGTAGTTCTGGCTACGTTGACGACATCGAGGTGCCATATGCGATTGCGCTCTATGATTTCGATGGTGTCGAGGAGGGCGATCTTAGTTTCAGAGTAACTATTTGCGTGTGCTTGAGTTTTATTTGAGTCATAACATCTGTGTTTGCTTGCAGGAAAATGAGAAGATCTATCTGCTGGAGCAGCCCACGGCGGAATGGTTTCGCGGACGTTCACGTACGGGCTGTGAGGGCCTATTTCCTGTGAATTATGTCGAAGTTAAGGTGCCATTGGGTGGCAGTGCAGCTGCAGGCGCAACTCATACTCAGCCCCAATCAGAGGAACGGCAACAGCAACAACAGCAGCTGTCCACTGCGCGTTGTCTGTACAATTTTCCCGGGGAAATTGAAGGAGATCTTCCCTTAAGGGTAAGCTAAGACAAACTAGTTTATCGTTTAAAATTAAATCGAGGTCATCTTTGAAGGAAACTAATGTTCACTTTTTTTCGGATTACAGGAAAATGAAATAGTAAACATTCTTTATCGTATTAACGAGGATTGGCTGTATGGGGAGGTGAATGGACGGCAGGGCCAATTCCCGGCAAATTTCCTAGAATATGTCCCCGATAATCTACCTACGCTGTGAACACATATTTGAAATATATCAGTAAGAAACAGGAAATAGCAACTATATTTGAATTATACAAAGAATATATATCTATAAGGAGCAAGCCGCAAATATCATTGGAACTGAAACATATTGTATTTCCTTTTGATAAACCACAACAAATAAGCGCCCAGAAACACAAAACTCAGAGACGCATCTTCACAAAGCTAACTAATTAATTATATGTAAATGATATATGTGCGTTAAGTCTCGACCTTAGGAATTATTTTACAAAATAGTTGTACGGCGTGAAATCAAAATCTTAACCCAATCAAGATCCATAAATTGTTTTTTCCCCTTTTGATTATTTATGTAATTAACATGTTGATAACTAATTCAAAGTATTCGAGAAAGTTTGGTGCATTGTAAATGATATCGCGTGATGATCTATTGATCCATTTTATTAATGTTAAAAAGTAACAAATTATATTTCAACTATATATACAAACATATTGTTTTCGTCGTCTAATTTAGTTAGTTATTTAGTTAGGCACATTTATCATTTCCAATTGATGCAAATCTTAAATTTTATACATATATACATACATACATAATATTAAAATGCTTATATGTGCTATTTAAAAGAACTACTATGTAAGCTATAGGGACTATACTGAAGTCAGGCAACTAAGCATATACTATATGTCAAGATACGATGAACTGAAATAAATGCAAATTATGAAAAAAAAAAAAAAACAAAATCAATCCCCGTGTATATGGTAGCAAAGTGCTGCTGACTGTGTTGCACAGTCGCAGGCAGAGGCTGGGGCTCTCCACCCCGTTGCCTAAGACCGACCATACGTGGCTCCAGTGCCACACCCTGCCCGAGGTGCTACTGCTTTCGACTAAATATGGCGGATCTAGAGAGGACAACTCGATAAAACCCGCAAGCCCTGGTGTTAGTCGCAACCGTGCCAATGGGCTGAATGGCAGCTGCGTGAATGCTGTCTTCGAACGGTGACCTCCGGATATCTGGCGACCTCCGGTTGTAATTAAATGCCTTGTCGTGATACTGGGGGCTATGTCACGGTCGACTTGCCCCACCCCCACACTCGTGGGAATCAAAATGAACTCAAGAAATCAACAACAAATCAACCAACCAACATACAATCGAACAAACCAAATCAACAACACGCACGGAATTCGCTTAAGCGGCGCAGCCCGCAAGCGATTCTTATATCTGGTCAAGAAGGGCATGGACCCGGAGGAGGCCAAGGAGCGGGCGATGCAGCCAATAAGCCAGGCACATGCCACATGGCAGACCCAGCAAACCAGAGCACAAAGGCACACCTTCAAAGGAATTAATCCACCGCATGAAATGTTAGCCATGGAACCTGTTCAATTCGACAACAGCTTCTCAGGCTACAGGCAATGTGGAGCTGACTGGACAGAACCTGCACATAATTATCAGTCGGCGGTCCAAGCCGAACAGTTCAGCGGAACAAATCCGCCGGCTGACAACAGCTACGGCGACTACGGACAATGCGGAACTGACTGGCCGGAACCTGCACAAAATTATCAAACACACCAAGTCGGCGGAATAAGTCCGAGCCAACGACCGTTAAGTGGGGAGCCTGGCTACCATCATGCTGACCATAGCTTCGCAGACTACGATCAATGTGGCAGTGGCTGGGCTGAACCATCACGAAGTCATGTTGATCAACTAACTGTGCCATTTGGAAACCAATCCCGTCGAGCATCTGTGAGAGCTAGACTCGGTGCACCTGTAAATCGCGTACGACGCGACATGCCATCTGCCTATGGCAGTAGCGGACAAACGGAGAATGGGGAAGACGTCGATATACCAAATCTTAAGGTGGCCATACTACCCGGTGACTATCCCAGCGAATTGTGGACAACTCAACAGCTGGAAGCCGTAAAGAAAAGTATTAGTGATCTCGTGCAACGCCAGGGCGAGGGCTGCATAAAGCCCAGTTTTGCGGGTTGCATTTTCCGGAACGGCTGGCTCTCTGTGAAAGGCAACGATGCGGCCAGTGTGAACTGGCTGATGGCCATGGACACCAGGCTACGACCCTGGGCGGGCGCATCCTTGAAAGTGCTGCCGGAATCTGAGGTGCCATGCAATCGAGTATTCGTTGGCCTCTTTCCGGCCTTGTATAGCACGCCAGTCAAGTACACGTTGCGCCTAATCGATGCCCATAACGAGGGTCTGGCCGTGCACGAGTGGCGCGTGCTGAATCGTGTACAAAGCGGGCCCACCATGAAACTGGCCGTGTCCATCGATGCCCACTCAGCCGAGGTGCTGAAACAAATGCACTATCAATTGAACTATGGCTTCAGTCGGGTCCACTTTCGGCCAAGAAAAAAGGCGCCCAAATAAACTCTTCACAATATCTAACACACTTAATCATTGCATTTTCTTGCATTTTGCCATGGGACCTAACTTGTCTACCCAGCTCATTTCTAACTAAAACTAACAGTTCATTCGAAAACCACATCCATTTATGCATGATATCATTCAGTCTTTGCACGGAAGCACTGACTGACTGATTGTTCGGTTTCAATACGTTTACGACTCCCAATGAGTTTTAGCTCTTGGCAAAGTAGCCCGCAACACTCGTGAAACTCGTGAACAAATCAGTTTACTCAGAATTGAGTTTGAGTGCGCAACAACTTGGGGCTCGTAATGTTAGGTAGGCTGTGTTCTCCAACCGTAGCAGTCCAGGATTTGTTGAACCTGCTTTAGCATTACTAACTGTAATACCTTCGTCGTTGAATGTCAAAGCAAAATTTTTATTTCGTTTTTCGGATGTGTTAATAATACAGTGATTATTCTGTGCTCGGAGCAAACAAAATTATTTCCTTTAACAACTGTCAATTCTCGTATATACATATATATATAAATATATATATATTCTATCTGTATATATATATTTATATATATCATATAGATTTTGTATATTTGTAAGTAGCGTGAATTGTGCGCGTTGTTGATATACATATTTGATAATTACGATCAGGTAAGTACCCTTCCGAATCCCCGCAGGTAAGCTATTAACTTTAACCTATCCCGGATCGCGGGCTTAGAGTAGTCTAGGGAGGGACGGAGCAACATGGGTGATGCGTGCCAGCCACCCGTTGACTATCCATCATGTCCGCCCGGGGCCTCGTGTCCGCCATGTGATTGCGGCGATTACTCCGGCTGCTGCTACCAGCAGCCACCGCGCACCCTTCCTATAGTCCCACAGTCACATTTTATGCGCTCCAGTGCTAAAATGGACACGGATACCATCTATCGCCGCTCGTACTATGGCAACTGTGGGACTACGCGCGCCGCTCCGGTGCGTCCATGCAACCACATAAGCGCCAACACGGCGCCAATGGAGAAGTGCACCGTGCAGAAGCTGTCGTATCTGCCGCCGTGCCCGGCTGGACGCACCATGCCCATTCTTCCGATGGCAAGCGGCTTGCGCTTTGAAGGGCCCATCTATGCCATGACATCGCAGAAGCATGACTACGTGCCCAAGTGCGCGGCGAAGCAAGAGCCGTGCCTGCCACGCGGGGCCATCTGTTCCTCGACGGCCCCCATGGAGCGCTGCACCATACAAAAGTTGAGCTACATGCCGGTGGATGTCTGCCAGAATCCGCCGCCCAAGGCTATGCCGCAGAGTTCGCACTACACCAAGCCCGCCGGGCCCATGGAGCGCTGCACCATACAGAAGCTGTCGTATATGCCGGTCTGCCTGCCGCCTAAGGAGCCGACGCCCTGGGCGGATAAGGTGCGCTGTGTGCCGCCCAACTATCAGAACATTTGCACCACTTACAACCTGAGCTACATGCCCAACTGCAATGCCCCACGTACTGCTCCCATGATGCCCATGAATACTCTGCGTTTCCTTGGCAACGATGCGGGTGCCGCCAGCACCGTCTACAAGCTAAGCTACAGGCCAGTGGATGCGTCTCGCAGCAAGCCGATGCCCATTTTGCCGAGAGACACCTTCCGTCGCGCCACGGGCCCGCTGGAGCGATGCACCGTACAAAAGGTGAGATTTACACAATGTGTGGATTATACTAATATATTGCTCACCATGCCTTCTCTCCTACAGCTCTCGTATCAGCCCAATTGTACTGAGCGCACACCGGCCATTCGTCCCATGGAGAATGGCCTGCGCTTTGATGGACCTCTATACGCGATGACAACACAGAAGCACGACTTTGTGCCCAAGCCGCATGTACGTCGTGCACCCATAGTGCCACTCACGGCCTTCTGTCGCCCCAGCGGTGCCATGGAGCGTTGCACAGTCAACAAGCTATCATATATGCCAGTGGATGTCACCTGTTATCCGCGGCCCCAGGCTGTTAAGCCGCGCCAGGGCTTCTGTCGCAATGATGGTCCCGTGGAGAACTGCACCACATACAAGCTAAGCTACTTGCCCAACTGTGTGCAGCCCAAGGAGCCGATGCCCTGGGCCAGATATACATCCTATTGCCGGCCCAGTGGCCCCATCGAGAAGTGCACCATACAGAAGCTCAGCTATGGTCCACCTGGTGCCTTTCAGCGTTGTGGTGGTAAGTGATACTACAAGGGCATTAATAGATATATGAATAACTGTTACCATCCTCCAGGTCCATGTGGTACCAGCTGCGCCGACACTGGCTGCTATCCAAAGGCCGGCATTTGTTGAATCGGAAATACGTTTTGCTTGCTCGTGTCGACATGTCCCGTCGCCCGTCCCCCATCCCCTGTCCCGATTGTTTCATGTTACATGTTTCAAAATCTTCAAGTCCAACTGTTTGAGAAGAGTTTATTAGCTCGCGATGACCAAATGAGGACGCTCTTTTTTTAAAGCAGTTTTACCACTGTGGCAATGTGCCAAACAATCACCACACTCACCCACCGCGTTTCTTGTGCTGCATATAAATTTTCAGGCTAAAATTGCAAGTGCTCCTCGGTGATTCAATAAACTGTACATTTATTGATTCGGTCTTGATAAAAAAAAATTTCTAAGTCCTATATTAAAATGTGTTCACACCATTTGAATCTGCAGACGCCGCTTGGAGGCGGCTCGACGTTTCTTTTCTTGCTTCCGCCGCGCCAGCGTCGCGTCCCGGAACAGCTGCACATCCTCGCGCTGCTCAACCTCCCTCTGCAGCAGGGAGAGGGCGTGTAGATTGTAGCCCATGATGTCGCGGAGTTGTTGGACATCGCGCTTGAGCAGCTCGAGTAGCTTGAGAAGCAGCGGCTTCATCGACTTGGCTGCCGTAATGGGTTTCATGTGAACCTTGAAGAGGAATACGGTTACGCGACAGAGAAGCTCCACTTCATCGGGTCTCTGTTTAATTAGGGCAGGCAAGCGTTCCAGCAGCTCACACACCATGGAGAAGGGCAGCAATAGAAGCGCTTCCTCCATGTCCGAAGTACGTATTCGCATCAAGGTTGTGACAAGGAAATCTATTGGATTTTTCACTTGCAATGCGATCATCAGGGGATGTAGCTCTGGTTTCTCGTCGTGCTCCAGCTCGTATTGTTTTGATATTTCCAGGCACTCCATGATGGACTCGGCAGCCTGCTCGGAGCCAACTGTTTTCCGAGAGGGCAGCTTTAGGCCTGGCAGCAATGGAACGCTATTATCCTCGCCGGTGGCCAGTTTCTCGTTTTCCATCTGCTCACGCTCCTCCTCCTGCACATCCTTTAGCACGATTGTCTCCTCTGTGCGCTCATACATTCGCAGAGTCCGATCTGAGCCGCAGGTTACCAAATAGCGGCCATTGGGCGACACGGACAAACAGTGCGCCTCGCCAATGTGGCCAGGCAGGGTCTGTATCTTCTCAAAGGAATCGCCATCCCACTGCTTGACTTTGCCATCCTTGCCGCAGCTGAAGAACATGTGCGTCTTGGGTATAAATTGTAGCGACATCACAGAATCGTCATGTGCAAAGATCGAGCGATGGCAATCGCCGAAATTGAGTCCCCAGATCTTTATGTTACGGTCGGCGGAACCAGTGGCTATAATCTGGGAGTCATACGAGATGTCCATGCAGAGCACTGGCAATTTGTGTCCGTATAGCGACAAGTAGAACTTAAACGTGTCCAGAAAGAAGATCTTTACTGTGGCGTCTAGCAGGCCAACGGCAAGGTACTTCATGTCCGGGCTAACGACCACGCAGAGCACCGTTTCCTCCAGCTTGAGCGTATTTTTGTGCAGCAGCGAAAGCACCTTGGTTTGAGTGTGGCTCTCGCCCTCGGAATCGATCAGCTCAAATGTCCAGATCTTCAGTGTCGTATCACTGCTGCCCGTGACACAGCCCTTCTGATCCGGCAGCAAAGCTATGCTCCAGAGTTCGCTGTCATGGGCGGGTATCTCTTCGACAATGTCCGCTGCACCCACGTCTGCAATCAGCAGTTTTCCGCTCTTCATGCCCAGCAGCACATACCGATCGCCGGGCACAAAGCGAGAGCAGAGTATGTAATCTGTGGGCATAGTTCGTAGGCATTGCATAGCGTCGCGATCCCAAAATTTAAAAGAATCCCCGGCGCCAGAGCCAATCGCAAGCGAATCGTTGCTAAAGCACACGGAACGTACCTCCGACTGATGACCGAGCCGTGTTAGCGACCGCAACAGCTTGACGCTGGTGTCCGTGGGCTCACTTGACTTAGCCTTTGGCTTCCGGGACTTGAGCGAAGCCTCCAGGGAGTACAGACTCATACTGTTATTGGACAGGCTGACCAACACGCGTACCTCTTGGTTCTGGCCAAGTAGCACATCAATAGATTTGATTTTCTGTTTCGTTTTGATGCTTTCCAGGCGTTTAATTTCATCGCTGAGTGAAAGCTCTTTGGAAATATGCTCCTCATCCTCTTGCTCTCCGCCCTCCTGCATCTTTTTGCGCGCCTTTTTTAGTCGCTTTGCCAGTCGTTGCTTGGCTTCCTCTGCATTGCAAATGTAAAAGTTTTCAATAAGATCATTCGTGCCGTGACAGCTTAGCACACGCTCGTTGGGATCGACCACTAAATTTACGGTGCGTCCTTTGCCCGCACGCTGTATTGTGCCGCAGTTACTGACGGACAGCGGGCTTATTGTGTCCTCGTCATCTATGGCTAGGCCCTCGACAGCTTTCTCCAGTGATTGCGCTGCATTGTCTTCCCGCTTGCGAAGTCGATAGACATTCATACCGCTCTCACCAGCGCCAGCAACCATTAGGTCGTTTATCAAGGCCAAACCCCATATTTCGGTGCGATTGTCAACAATAGTTTTGAAGCAGAACTGTGTCTCCAAGTTCCAAAACTTGATTTGTGTATCCTTTGAACAGCTAACCACAATGTCCTGCTCGACTAATCGTTGCAAAAAGTGCGCATCCGTAACAGCTGCATTGTGGCCGCTCAGACGTTGACGTCCCGCCTGCTCCACCACATCTACAACGACGAGCTCTGTGTCCAATCCGCCGCTCACTAACCGCATGCCATGCGCATCGTAGCGCAACACACTGACGGCATTTTTGTGTAATGCCAGGGAGCAAATCGCATCGTAATAAGTGCGTGAGCTTAGATCAAAGATCTGAACTACGCCGTCCGCATAGCCCACGGCAATGTGTAGATGATCAGGTGAGACGCGCAAGGCGGTGACTTCTTGCTTTTCACGCCGTAGCGTGAGCTTACGATCGCCCATCCTAAATTATATTTGAGATTTTAAATGAATACTGTATATTAATAAATTACACTTACCGTAAATCCCAAATGATAACATTCTCAGCCGCCGGAGCTGCAGCAAAGCGGCCCTCGCTCTTCTCAAGTACGGCGAAATTTACATTGGCGCGACCAGAAACGATGATATTAAAACTGTCTATGGCGCGATATGCCAAATATTGTTTAGTTAGACCCATTTTATCATTAAATTTGATTGAAGAAAACAACAGGTCCACAGCGCGCGTACTACTGCACGTGTTTGTAATGTTATTGTGGATTTTTCCTAAATTTGACCAAAAAATACTAACGATAGCCGATAGGTATCGTGTAAGCAGCATTTTACAGCACTGAATTATCGAATCGATACATGGCCGTTATGCACATGCGCCTGTTTCTATATTTCTAATACACCCTGCTCTGCCATTTCATTTATAATACCTTTATAATAATATTTCAAGCATCGCACCTACTCATTATAGCTCTAACTATGGCCACACAAGGAGCTGGTAATAATTTTAGACCCCAAGTATATACAAGAAAACTGTAAAGCTAACGCTGTTATTGTTTATAGGTACTTCGGATTTGGACACAGAATCCGTGGAAGTTTTACGTGAACGCCTAAGCACCATGAAGCGCCTAATGGCCGAGCGTACAGCTCAGCAGCAGAACAATCCAGCATCAACTGAAGAAATCTTTTCAACCAAACGCCATCGCTCCGCTGGAATTATCGATGGCAATTTCCTGAGCATCGCCTTTGGCGGCGCCCTCCTTGTGATTGTCACGGTTTCAGTCTATGCATTCTACAATCTATATCATGCCATACTCAAGAAGTTTCCCTCTCATCATGAGGAGTTGTAAGCAAGGCTGCATATGCAATTTTTATACATAGTAGTATGAAATTTTGTGCATTTAAATAAATACGTTGCTGCGGTTTTCAATTAAGACAGTAAATGAATTTTTTTCGTTTGCTGTTTTGCATTCGATTAAATTAACTATTTATTGAATTTGTTGCCTTCTTAATTACAGTAATCAATATTTCTCATATGGTCTTCATTTAGATAATAGATAATTGGATGATCAAGAGCCACAAACCGAAATACAAAAAAAAAAAAAAAACAGAATGCATTGACAGCAAAAGGAAAACAAAGGACTTTTTAGGTATCGCCGATACTCCCTATAACTTTAATAAAAAAACAATAATTGTAAACAATAAGACGAAGGAACTGAAATGAACAAGTTTTTATGCGGAAAAGTGGAAAACTCTCTGGTTTCTAGTTTACCTTACTCTCTAGCTATGCAATTTTAACGTTTTTCTACATATTTTCTTTGCTGTGTTGCTTACAATCTGTAGTTAAACATCTATATATATTAATGTATATATAAATGTAGCTGCTTTTTGTTTGTTTTACTTTTATTTGTTTTAAATAAGTAACTAATATCGTTTGTTTTCGATTGATTTTTGTTTTTTTAATTGAAATAATAATAAGTTGTTTGTATTTCGCATTGTTGCATTATTTGTTTTTGTTTTTCATTTGCTTTAAAAAAGTTCTACTATTTGTTTAACATCATTTCGTATTGAACATTGCGTATGAAAACGTTAGATTTGAGTTTGGCATCCAAATTTGAAAAAAGAACTTCGAAATTTATAAAAAGGAACGCTTCATTTTTTTAAGGTTATTGCTGTCTGAATGGATTGGTTTGCCTCCTGCATATATCGATTGCCAGTTGTAACTGATCTGCTTGCTGTGTGCATATGGTGGATGCGTGTGTGTGTGTGCCTTTGTGAATGTGTGTGTGCGGGGTTGTTGACTGCTGTGGGTGGACGCTGGTGCCAGAGGAGACTGTCGGCTTTTTACAAATTTGTTTATTTCCCTATTCTTGAACAGACTCTACAGCTTCGTCTTCAGCTGCTGCTGCTTGATTCTTTTTGGATCAGATGTTGTCTACGGAATCAGCATCGTCCTCCGAACTAATCTCATCACCGAACTCAATATCTTCATCGAAGCCATCTTCGACGAATGTGACTGTTTCGTTGATGCGAACCGATTCCGGAAACTCGCCGTAAGTCTTCAGATTTCGGGCTTCATCTGGTGTATACTTCAAAATGACATCAGCCTTTGAGTCTTGATAGTCACGCAAGCCGACCAATATTATATCGCCCTGATTGATCCAAACCTGTAATATGTAAGAAAAGTAGACATAAGTAATTTATATAATTAAATTTTTTGTAATATCATTTATTGCTCCAATAACTTCATAAAGTCTTTGCTGACTCAGCGAAAAAGTAAAGCAAAGCAAGTCAATTTTGCAACTTGTAATAGATAACAGATCTGTAAATAAACTTGAACTGGAGTTCTTTTGGCTATTTCGCAATCGAGCGAAATATTTCAGACAACGATATGAGAAAGACTCGTTTACTTGAATAAATATAAAATTTGCATTAATGTTGTCTTTCTATAAAGATAATCTTGGTATTTTTGGGAATTGGTTTATTTCCATTTCGAAGGAACTCCAAAGATTTCTCTTTATATATGCTAGTATCTGCTTTTGAACTTATTACAATTCGCTCCAGTTATATCTTAGCTTTTTGAACGTCTTTTAATGTATGTATGTAAATAATAAACACTTTGAAGAAAAGAGACACCGCCTCTTTTTTTGCGTATGGCAGTTCTAAGAAGTCATTGACGTCAACGGAACAGTGTAATCTTCCGAAATATTTGAGTATCTTAGTGATAAGTAGAATATACATATACATGATGTTAAGCAATTATCCATTTAGCTTGGGGAATATTAGTCAACCCAATTTGATAACTGACCTGCAGACATTTGCACCTGAAACGTGAATGCCATTCATAAATTCACTTCCTCAGGCACTTCCTGTCATAGTATTTTTACTACTCACAAAAATAAGCGTACAATGCTCCTAAATGCAATAAATACCAAATTAATGCATAAATATGACACATATGTTCATGAATCGAGTCATTGATAAGAGATATTGATGGAATGAAATATGATTTGATAGCGAATTCGGCTTAAATGTCCATTAAGAGAAACCAATGCTTCGTCAATTACGTTATCGTTTAAAATAAACATAGGGCCGATTGAACTTTGGAGCCTTAATCATAAGCAAGGCGGGAATCTGGACATGTAAGCGCAGGCGTGTGGCATTGGCTTCACCCCAAATCTAAGATATATGTTTCCGCACAATTTCGTACAGCGATACATCATGCGATAAAAGACACAGTGCACCTCCAGCAGGTAGATAGATAAAAGAAGCGTGACTAAAGCACTACAAAATTGGCATATTACCCAAGGGCGCAAGCTTGTTAAGTGAGCCAAAGATAAGCGACCGATCGAAATACCAGAGGCATGCGTTTGGGAATCACCCGACGACATGGACATGTACGACGACATCCACGGCGACGACGACACCGACTAGTAACGATCCATGAGCTAATTACTGATTACGTTGCCCATCGTACTGGTCATGTGCAGGCAGGGGGCAGCTATGCCCACATCAGATGGGCCCACATCGTCATCATATCGGCATTCGAGGCAGCAGGTGCCATTCTTGCGATATGAACAATGCACTATAAATATTATCGGAGAGTGCTACGTATCTATATGGCCGTAGTCTATTTCTTCGTAAGATTATTGAACTTGAGGGTTCGTAGGACTCATCACTGAAAAAAGTCGGTGAGCAAGAATTAAATATTTGTGCTGCTACAAAATATAATCAAGTACAAGTATAATATTATTATGTATTTTGTTCTTTCCTCGTGTTCTTTACGAACCTTAAAAGGAGCTTTTTTCAGAATGAATCATATTGCGGCATACGAAAAATCGTTTATCAAACGGAATCACATTGCGGCATTTCTATATTACCGAAATGCAGTTACATTATATATTTGCCAAAACTTCAAGGCAGAGACTGTGTGGTCTTTAATATAGGATCTCTGAATATGCCACTAAATTTTCAGTTTTGACTTAAATACCGCTGTGCATGCTAATTACATCTACTAAACAGTCTAAGGGCAATTCATGAACCACACGCAAATATCTTATCATTTCTGATAACGACGACATAGACAATACCTAATAAGCCACTCTCTTCTGCGAAACAGCTAATAACATTAGTCTCTCTGGCATTACTCTCTCTCTCTATCTGTCCTCTCTCGCTCTCTTTTGCTGTTAGATAAGCGATTGGCTATAAGTATGGCGAAATTATACGAGGCAACAGTAAACTAAAGACAATCATCGATCAGCGAACAAGCAGAAGCAAACGGCAGAACACGGCCGCTGAAAAGTGAATTCCATGAAATACTTAAAGGAAATACAAGTGAAGTGTTATCGGCACGCCAAAGCAAGGGCGAAAAGCTAAAATTGAATAAACTTATTAAACAACTGCAACACACCAAATACAGTGAAAACCTACAAACTACCAACAACAGCAAGATCAAGAATAATTCACCACACTTAACTCATTAGACACGCTAAGGAAAATCACCATTTCGCGTTTAAAATCGCGTCAAAATTTCGTTCAGTACAAGCTTAAATCCGTGCGGGGCGTGCAACCAGAGCGAGGACATCATCATGCTGTTATCCTACAGATACATCTACACATTTCTAATGACCACCATAGCCAGCATAATGGTTGTGCTCAGTTCAGCCCCGCACATGCAGCTGCCGGCACGCAAATGCAGCGGACCCGGACACACAATGGCATTGAATCTGGCAACGTACGGCCTGTTGGAGAATCGTATCACCACACTGGACGCGCCGATGCAGACGCACTGGACCAAAAAGTTTCTGGCTAAGCGCGAAGCGAGTCCGCACTCAGCGCCCTACGTGGTCAGCATTCAGATGATGACACCAGACCAGGGCCTGGTGCACTATTGCGCCGGCACCATCATCAACGAACATTGGATACTGACGGCGGCCCATTGTCTCAGCTCGCCACAGGCCGTGGCCAATTCGGTGATCGTGGCAGGCAGTCATGACATTCACAATCGTCGCGGCGAGGCGGGCCAGGTGCAGCAGCGAAACATCGACTACTATGTGCGACATGAGCTATATCTGGGTGGTGTGAATCCCTACGATATTGCGCTCATCTACACCAAAAAGCCATTCGTCTTTGATGAATACGTCCAAGCTGCAACGCTGCCAGAGCAGGACGCCAGGCCTGAAGGCTACGGCACACTGTACGGCTGGGGCAACGTTTCAATGACCGCCGTGCCCGACTATCCGCATAAGCTGCAGGTGGCCAACATGCCCATACTGGATATGCAGCTATGTGAGGACATCCTTGCACGTTCCGGCCTACAGCTGCACGAGACAAATCTTTGCACCGGTCCACTGAGCGGTGGCGTTAGCATCTGCACCGCCGACTCTGGCGGTCCACTCATGCAGGAATGCTGTGAGCCGCATTTGGAGCAGAGCAACGTTATCATTGGCATTGTCTCCTGGGGTCGACTGCCCTGCGGCCAGAAGAACGCGCCCTCCGTCTTTGTGCGCGTCTCTGCGTTCACAGATTGGATCAATCAGATTATCAGCTCAGCCACTCTTTTAATGTAAATATGTTACTCAACACTTGGATCGCAGCTCGAATGTTAAAAAAAAAAGAAATCTATAAAAAGTACCTCAAATAGTAAAAAAAAAAAAAAACTTAGCAGTTAATCTCAGTAGCAAAATAAGTTTTAAGAAATTGTTATATACTGCCCGTAATCTAAGCCATATAAAGTTAAGTCGCAAAATGTTCCTAATAAAATGCAAAAAAAAGTATTTTATATAATCAAATTGAGCAAACATTTTTTATTTGAAAGAAAAAAAGAGAAAAATGCGTCAGTTGTGAAATTGACTGGAATTTTATGTTTCCAGGTGCCTGGTAGATAAGTTTATATACCCAGCGCTATGGAGCACTTTGACTAGAGGGCGGGGTCTGGCGTCTCAAAGCTTTGCATTAGTCATGCGAAATTCAGTAGATTAGTAATGACAAAATGCTGGCCCTGCTTCTGGTAATCAGTTAAGTGCGACGAACTTACATATCGTTGACATGTTTTACGCAGATAAATCTAAAGATTAGTATCACTCCTAGTGATCGTCTGCTGACTTAATGTGTGATAGCTTGATTGCGTTGTGTTATACTGTTGCCCTGTAAAAAAGTTCGGGTAAATGTATTCCTCTGACATTTGATGAAAAAGCATTGGAGGTTCTTGCTTAAAATCATTTGATTCACTTCTATCTTTTAATATGAGTAATAAAAATCAATTCTGACGACTATGAACGGAAAAAGCGTAAAATGATTTTATTAATAAATAATGTTTTATGGAACTGACCGATAAGAAATAATCTAGTTCTACAGCATAACTATAGTATTTGTGTTTTTAGTTTTGGTTTTTGGACTTTATAGCTGACATGACTTCGTTGACTGATGTTTCAACCGTTTGTTGAGTAGCACATTTTCAATTCAATCTATCTTGATTTATTGTGCGATACGTAATTTCATCATATCGTTTCTACAATTTCCATTTTGACATTACAATCAGGTTAAACCTAAAGCCGAAATATACACATCAACTGTGAGGTGAACCAGGGACGATTCCTAACCTTATATGGTTTTCTCTATTCAGTAGCACTCACTGTCACAATTCCTTTAACATAGCAGCAATCTCAGCAGAGAACTTGCGATTAGATTGCCTCACACAGCTTAGCAAATAATTAGTTGCTACTTAATTTAAGTTTTCTAGTCGAATGGCGCCTGGCGCCATTATTTAAATTGACTTAACTGGTAAGTCATTATGAGGCAACAAAAAGAAACCCTTGATAAGGCATAACCTATTTATAATCCTTTTACATATATGATTTATAACCATATTGCGGCGTATTGCTTTTATTTATTGATTATCTTATCTTCTTTCGATTCTTTTTGATTATAATGAAAATAATCGATTTAGATTTCCGTATCCATTTCGTATATAACAACTGCACATAATAGAATATTGTAAAATTTTTATCAATTTCTGTCTCTTCAATTTAAATGCGTTTTACTTAAACATGTGCTGGGCAAGGTTCATTGCGTATCTGCATAATATACAGGCATCTATATATATTACTATCTTTTAATTATCTTCAACATGGTATGTTGTAGTCTCCAATAGTTGTTTGTGTAAATTTGTTTCCCCCTGATAAGAATCATTTTCTATTAATGACGTAGTCTAAATAACTACGTAGGAGCAATTATTTATTTATGGGTCCTCTTTATTGGCCGTACGGGTAAGAACCCAAAATTCTCGGGAAATCAATACCAATGAATTGAATTTAAAATGCTGATTAACCTACAGTTAATATACGTAAACAGAATCATTTCAAATTTGTATAGATTGGATATATATCGAAATAATATATTTTTGTAAAAAATCGTAAGTGCATGAATAATCTCTAAAAATTCAATTCAATCTTACTCGAAAAAAAAAAACTGTATTAATAAAGTAATAAATTGCAATAAACATGTACAGCAGTTTTTCTTAATATCAGTATTTAGCATTAATTAAATAAAAGATATTTTAAGAAATGCAATGACACTAGATTTTTGAAATGGACAAGTGCTTACATACACACGTGCATATGTATATATCTGTAAGTTCAATGAGTTTTGGCTTTGTTCGCATTTTCTGAAGGCCGTTTGTCAGATCGGCAAAACTCAACAAAATATTTATAGATTTTCAAACAATTGACCAGCAGAGATTCCGAAATTAATAAATCATAAATGGGGAAATTGTTAACAAGTGAGATTAACGTAAAATGTCATTACAGTTATGTTGGCCTGCGTCGCACATACATATTGTCATATTCACGCATACAAAATATTCACATATACATATGAATACATTTGCAAACAGTGCACGCAGCACACGTTCATGCATCAAAAGCAGCACGCATACATTCAAACACCCACACACACACACTTACCTTCTTACGAAGTTTCCCCCGAATATGACACAGACGTTTGACGCCATCAAAGCACATTGCCTCCAAGCGACCATTGCCCAGCATTTTGGTCACCTGCGCGTATTCCTGTTGATCCTCTTTAAAGATCAGTTCACGTTTTTCGAACTCGTTTTCGTTCTTTCCACGACGACGATTTTTGCCACCTTTTCCTTTATTCTTGGGCATTTTGCAGCGTTGCTGGTTTAACTAGTGTATCTTGTCTGAGGTGTTGCGCTACGCTCTCGACGTGCTTATTTAATTGATTTATCACAAACTGCACTAAAAATCAAAAGTTATTAGATCATGTTATATTCAATTTTCACTTCAAATTATTTGACAAAACTTACAATTTTGCCAAAGAAATGTGACAAATTTTGCCTCGCTAAAGTGAAAAGGAGTGAGACAAATTAGAGATGTTGATATTATAGCTATTTATCGATAGTTCTTTCGATATATTTGAGTATTGAGTGACCCTATCACAGAAATGATATTCAACCATCTGACAAGTGGCAACACATGTGCCTGACAACACGGTGGCAAGTATAAAATCAGTTGTGAGTAGGTGATAAATCTAAAATGCCACCTAAAAAGGATACGAAAGGTGGAAAGGATAACGCAAAAGGTGGCAAGAAACCAGCTGCAGAGGAAAAAGGTAGAAATGTGATGTGGTAGTAACGGTCGATCCATATTCAGTTCAATGATTTTCAGGTGCCGGCAAAGAAAAGAAAGGCGGCAATGCGGTGAAGGTGCGACACATTCTCTGTGAGAAGCAGGGCAAGATTATGGAGGCAATGGAAAAGTTAAAAGCCGGTCAGAAATTTCCTGAAGTGGCAGCAGCCTACAGTGAAGACAAAGCACGTCAGGGTGGCGACTTAGGCTGGCAAATACGCGGAGCAATGGTTGGCCCCTTCCAGGACGCAGCTTTCGCTCTGCCCATATCCACGGTCAATAACCCCGTTTACACAGATCCGCCGATAAAGACGAAATTCGGCTATCACATAATCATGGTCGAGGGAAAGAAATAAATGGTGATTTTACAAATATTTATTGTGAACATATTTTTTTTTATAAAAACGCAAATTCAAGTTTACTTCTTGCCTGAATCCTCTTTGAGTCCTACAGTGCGATTGAACACAATACGACTGCCAGATGTGTCGGGATCCACTGAGAAAAAGCCAATGCGCTCAAATTGGAACTTATCATACACTTTTACATCGCTAAGCGACTTATCAGAGTACGCGTTCAGGACGGACATGGAGTTATCGTTAATATCGCTGAGAAATCCGCCAGGCACTTCGTTGGTATCCTCGGGATTTTTGTGCTTGAACAGCTGCTCATATAAGCGCACCTCCAGTTCTATCGGCTGTGAAACCCATTGTACAAAAGCCTTCGGCTTCTCGGCCTGTTCGGCAGATTCGCTTTTGCAAACGAGCTCCATAATTTCGCCCGTGGCAGGATCACGGATAACTTCTTGTATGCTCAAAACCAATCCTGCATGGCGTAAGCCAACAGATTGCTGGGGTGACAAGCGTCGATAGCCCTTTTCTGGCTCCAATTTGAAATCGCTGCGCTCAATGTAGATAACACGATCCAGGGTAATCTTGTGCGAGCCGAGTGTTGGGTTCTGTGGGAAGTTAGGAACTTCTAATTCCACTGGCCCTGCGTGGGGGTAGTTGCTGATGGTTACTTTCAGTGGTTGTAATACGATCAGTCGTCGTGGCGCGGTCAAGTTAAGTACATCCCTGACGGCGGCTTCAAGCATAGAGGGATCTACAGATATTTGTGCACCAGTCACGCCCATTTGGGCGCAGAAATTATTTATGGCCTCCGCGGGGTAGCCGCGTCGCCGCAGAGCCGTCAATGTAAATAGGCGTGGATCATCCCAATCATTCACAATACCTTCGGTAATAAGTTTGGCGATTTTTCTCTTAGATACGAGAGCATAGTTCATGTTCAGACGTCCATATTCCCACTGGACGGGGCAGTAGATGTTGAGAGCATTGCAGAGCCAATAGTAAGAGGATCGACGCGACTGAAACTCCTTGGTGCAGAGGGAATGGGTGATATCCTCGATTGAATCGCACAGGCAGTGCGTGTAATCGTAGGTCGGATAAATGCACCAGTTAGAGCCAGTGCGATGATGCGGGATAAACTTGATTCGATACGCAACGGGATCCTGTTTACCTTCCTCAAGCGTGATCTTGAGGCGCAGTGTGGCTGCACCCTCATCAATCTTGCCACGCTTCATGTCCTCAAACAGTTGCAGCGATTCTTCAATAGGTCGCTCACGCCAGGGACTTGGAGGTGGATTGAAACCTTTTAGCTCCTCCGCTTTCTGGTGACACACATAGGCCAAGTTCTTGTTTATCAGTACCACTGCCCATTCATATAGCTGCTGAAAATTGTCCGAAGAGTATGTTATCTTGTATGGCGTGTAGCCGAGCCACTCAACCATCTCGCGAATCCCAACAAAAAACTTCTCCTCCTCCTTCTCGGGGTTGGTGTCGTCGTATCGCAGATAGCAGACGCCGTTATGGGCAGCTGCATAGCCAAAATTGATGTTAATGGCCTTGGCATGACCAATGTGCAGAATGCCATTTGGTTCAGGTGGGAAGCGTGTTTGAACCCTACCACCTGTGCGCTTCAAATGATCGCGCAGTAGCTGCTCCGTATGCTCGGTGACCACATAACCATCGGTTTTAAAGTTCTCGCCCGGTGCATGGAAATGCACCTTAGTCTTCATTAGCTCTGCAATGGTATTGGCACCATCGTTGTTATCTGGTACAGATGCTGACGATGCGGATGCCTTGATATCGGCCTTAGCGTTGGTTGTGGTTTGATTTGCCTTAACTTTAGGTTGCTTTTCGTTCTGCTTGGGCAATGGGATTAGATCAGCCTCAGTTTTTGGGCCAAGTAAATCGAATATCTCAACATCGATGGCTGCTTTCAAGGATTTTGCATCTGCCCATTTTAATTCATTGCGGACTTCCTGCATAATCTTAAATGAGTTAAAGTGATAGCGCTGTTCCAGTAATATTTCCTTGTAGGTGCCCTTAACTTTCTTCTGTACAACACGTTCGATCTCCTCAGGCGAAACTACGACGCCAACACCGCATTCTCGATCAAGTTCGGCCACATCGACATTTGCGTTTTTCTTCTGTCCGCATTTTAGCAAGTATTCCAGTGCAGCGTCAACACGTTGCGTGTTGTCCAGCTTGCGCTCCGTAATGTACCGCACCAAGAGTGGCAAATGTGCCGCTATTTGCGGCTTCAGTTTGGTTGCCATGTGGTAGAGCAACATGCCAACACCATCGCTCAGCGGTTTTTTTGTTTCCGCAAGGGCTAGTTGCAAATTTCGTGTCACATTGGCGTTCTTAAGCGTCTCCTTAGCTTTCTGTTCGCTCATACCGAGCTCCTGAAACTTGATAATCAAATCCTCTCCGGCCATATCTCCTCAAGGTTTTCGACACATATGATGAAATGAATTTACAAATAGTGATGGCAAATGAATTAGAGATGAGGGATAGAAAATACATATTTATTCGTACTGTTCGTACAAGAGAAAAGTATCGATAGTACTTAAATCATTTGTGGACTACTTCAAACTGTTGCATTTGCAAAAGATACATATATACATGTATGTATGTATGTATGTATTTTATTTAACTATATTGACAGTAACTATTACGTGAAAGAAAGAAAGTAAGGCTTTATCTCTTTAAATTAAAAACTATTACGAGACTGCATTAGACATAAAGCTATATAATTTTTTAAATGAGTCCATATTCTAGGAAGAAAGATGTTTTATTGAAATATTATAATTTAGTGGATATAGGAGTTTCAATTTTTATATACTCTAGCTTGTATGTCTCGTATGGTGCATGCATTGACACACAAAGGTCTGATGCTTGTAAAATTCGTAATAAATCACTTTTGATCACTTGACATGCATTTGCAGATAAAACTTGACATGACCATGGCCAGAGTATTTTTCAGTAATATCAATATTTTTAGCCCAAACTTTACACGTAACACGAGCCTCTTCATTGGGTGGTATATTCTTCAATTGTACAGCAACAACGCGATCGAGGTACGTTAAATCATTGGTTGTATCAAAATATGGATGTGGAATAAAATTGAATTCCATTTTCTTGGTTGCCTCGCATGTCAACCAGATCTTATTACCACCAGGGTATTTTTTAACTGTCTCTTCCAATGCTGCTGGTTTCTTTTTCGGCAGGCTTTCGACATCGTCATAAGTTTGTGCAGTGAATCCATGCACTTTATTAATCTTGATAATTACGCAGGGAGACTTTTCCTGATATCCCCATAATTTGTCCTGATTACACTTGGCAAATTTTTGAAGACCGAGTGCGTCGAAGTTGGATAGACCATTATCTATCTGGTCTGCATATTTATATATGTCTTTTAGAATGTTTGGGTTGAACTTAATGGTACCGGGCTTAGGAAATCTGGATATACCTGGAGCACTCTTTTTAATTTGAGGCGAACGTGAATCCTTATAAGAGCCATAGAAGAAAATTAAAATCAGTACAGCCAAGATCAACAAAATAAAAAAGTAGAGCAATAGATAGAAGTAAATGATTCTTGTCCATCCCAATGCGGTCCGTCCGAAAAGTCTATGGTGCTCTAAGTCGAGTACACCCTTAGACCAGGGCATTTCATACTTTTTTCGCTTATTTTCCAAATGTCGAAATCGTTTACGAACCTCGTAGTTCCCTGCGGGAACTACAAAATCTTCTGGCATAATGTTATTTTTTTTCGTTGAATAATAAATTTAAAAAACTAAACCAAAAATTGTGCCTGATCACCGTATTTTGTTTAGGATTTTTTCTGTATCATTCCGAATCGAAAACTTTCTGTATATTGAGACTTTCTTCTGAGAAATTTATCATGGCATCTCTGATTAGCACGGTTAAACTAATAATTACTGTCATCGTAATCTAAATCGACTTCTTGGGGGATTTCAACACCGTCTACTCTAATCACAAGAAGTACCGATGCGAATTTAAGTGGCATATTTTTTGCAAATGCCGAACATTTTAAAAAAACATCTTGATTCAAAGGAATATTAGAAATTTGTATTCCAACGAGACGACGATATTCTGGAAAGTCATTGATTCTTTCCATCGTCAAGTTCTCAGAGGGATTTCTAAGAAATGTCGTTTGTTCCGGTAGCATACAATCAGAATCAAAATATCTGCGTGGCACATAGCGCAATTCAGCTTTGGTTTTATTGCGCAAGAACGAGCAGCCAACCCAAATGCGATTAAAACGCATTCCCAGTGGCAATGTCATCAAATAATTCATCAAGTCATGTGGCGCCTCATCGGGCAAAGATATTGGACTGCAATATGGTTCGGGCTTAAAATTAACTGCATAATTCAGTTTTAATATGATACATGGCTGACCCGTGCTATATCCCCAGGTATCATCTAAATTACATTCTCTTAGATGGTCAATTCCACTGCGGCCATATGGTTTTGTAAATTTGTACAAATGTTCTATATATGGTGCAGATTCTTTTTGCTGATCTGAATTGTATCTAATGAGTTTCCTGTCCCCCACATACACTCCGGGAACGGATGATAAGCTCGCAGCTTTTGCTATGAACGGTCGGTCTTTGGGTAAGCGAAAATAGGAGACAATTAGAATATTACAAGTTAAAAGAATGCCAATACATATATATAACGCCAAATAGAATCCAATTATCTTAAGCAATCCAACTATTGTATACTTTGGCCGAATAACGAGTGTTCGTCTATCCTTATAAAGCAACTTTTCTTTTTTTCGCTCCTCAACACAGCGCCGTCTCATATGCAATGCGTAGGGCCCCTTGAGGTTTATTAACTCGTTCGGCATATTTCGCTATTTCTTTGAGTTGATTACTTGTAAGATATGTATGCTATATATGTAAATCTTTTTGGTGATTATTCTCGAAGACTACTTTGATTCACAGTAAGAAAACCTTTACAATAAATTAAGACGGCTATTTATTTATATTTTTACATCAAACTAAAAACCCTTATTTATTTATTATTATTATTATATTTAAAACATGCACTCAAAACTTGTTTTCATTGGCAATCAATAATTAGTTTATAAGCTATATATACATTAATAAACACTTATCTTAGTTAAGATATACTTTTCACTTGTTTTAGTTATTTAACGCAATATAAGCAGCATACGAATTTACAAATTCGAATTTACAAATTCGATTGCAACGCGTTGACTGATATCGATGACTGATTTCGGGTTTCGGTAGTTTTCAAAAATCGATGTTAATCGCTCGCCAGCCAGCAGCAGCTTTCTCGCTCTCACGTGTTGTTTTTAACAAATTGGAGGGAACATTAATACGGAATTATATTACAAAAAAAGCAAACAATGAATGCGCCACCATTAAATCGAATTCCCGGTACGTCGCAGACAAAGGAAAAATATGTCAAAGATCTCAAAACTCTTAGATACCATGAGCTACTAGAAATGAGGGATAGGCAAACAAATATTTTGTCATCCAAGTAAGTCGTAGAACTTGTTTCATTGGTGAGCGAAAGATTAATTTGTTGTTGATATTAATGCAAAGGAAACGATTAGAGAGCTTACCAGATAAAGGAAAGCGAATACGGGACTCCCACGAAAAGTTACTTGCTGAGATTCAACGTCGAAACGATGTCGAGGCAACTGCTAACCTACTCGGCGAGCTGAACATTGCGTCAAAAGGAAAAATAACACTAAATAATCTAGAATGGCATGGCAGAACCTCTCCTGGAAAATCAGACGTTACTGACCTGCTTGATAGCGACGACGAGCAAGAGATGGATCCGTTACGAATTATTGCCCAAGGTACAATGCATCAGCGCCAAGTAAAAGTCCTGCCACCGCCTGCCACCCTTATCACTCCTGAAGATATAGCTGACATAGCATCATTTAGACAAGAGCAACCGTCTCATTCATTGGATTCGAGCCAGACTAATGACAGCGCGTCTAGTAGTTGCAGTGGGCAAGATGACAGCAAAACAATTCCAGCAGAAATAATAGAAATTGATGTTTGCAAATTGGTCGGAAATCGTCCTACTGAAGCCACTTTGGAACAACACGCATTGTATCTCATTGATAAGACTGAACAGCACGCTGTAAAGGACCGTGAAAAGTTCCTGCCTTTTCGCACTACAGTATCGAACGTTCATGATCCGGATAAGGAACGTAGTCGTAAGAAAGGCAAACACTGGGAGATTACCGCTGCTACACCTCCACTCATACAGCACAGGGAGGCCCAATTAGTGCCGTTGGCTGAATCCGCCAGTCTGCAGATCGATTATATGCAGAAAATCAAGGTAAATCTATATCTTTATGTTTATAAATTTGCATATGTATAACCGTACGTATCCTTTAAAGAATCTACGCATACAACAGGCTGAAGAGCGTCTGGCTAGGCAAGTGCCTCTGAAGGGCATACGTTTACCCGATGATGCAGTGCTGAAGACCAAAGCGTCATTTAATAGCTATCGTGATCCACAGGCTCATTATCTTATAGAAGGCAGACAACAGGCTAAAGAAGAAAACGAAGTGCTTGATCCAACAATAACTGATAAAGCCACAGGTGGCATTAGTTACTCAGTTTACAACTGAGGATAGATGATTGATGTATTGTCAACAGTTCAACTGAACTACTGTAAATTAAGATATCCCGCAAACAAGCTTAATTTATGTAGATATTTCTAACCATTTATAGAATTGAGGAATTCATGTGATTCAAACAGTTTATTCTGAGTAAAGATTATTTAATAAGTAACTACTATTCTGTTTTCTAACGCAACATATTATAAAGTATCTATGGCATTGGATAAATATGTATTCGTATCGCCTTAAGTTCAAATGGAGTAAAACTGTGTAGCTGTCGAGGCCTGAAGCTCTATTTGGCCCATTTTAAATTGCAAATGCTGTAACCATTTGAGCAGCGCCTCTGATTTGTGGGTCTGTTGCTCCTCAAAGTCGGGCGCATAGTCACGTACGTTCTGCAGCCGGACATGTAGCGTATCCGATAGTTGGGTTTGCGAAGAAAGCACAGTGCTCCACATGGGCAGCAGTTTGCCCAGCACCGTAGAGTTTGTCTCTTTCAGGGCCTCCAGCAAGCTAAGAAAGTGTAAGTTAACCATTTCCGATAGCTTTGAGTTGGTGCTTTGAGTTTGGAAGTCAACGCTGGCCTGAGCGTGCAGCTCCTTGTTGGGTGGCTTGGCATGCGACACTAGTTGCAATATGCTTGGCGTCACCTTGGTCCAAAACTCAAAGAGTACACCTAGCGTACTGCCCTCGGCATTGCTGTTGGTGTTGTGAGCCATCTGCTCCAAATAAACGGTCCACAATTGGCAGAGTGTAAACGCATGGAACAGCGAGGACATGTGCAACACCGATGTCTTGGACTGCTCGGCGAAGCCCGCGAAGATCACTTGAATGTGATCGGCTATGTGACAGGATGCTTCCTGTGGCACAGGCTGCGAATATGTGACTCCTTGATGTTGGTAATGAACACTAGCTGCCGGCGGCTGGCCCTGTCCAGGCGCCACATTCGGCGGCAGAACTGGAGGCAATGTGTGCGTTTCTTGGCGGCGCTGCATCAAAGCCATGTGCGTAAGTGAGCCCAGCAAAAGCCACGAGAGCAGGCGCATATGACCCACACATTCAGTAAACTCCTTGGGACTGCAAGTAGTTCAATCGGTATTCGATTACGGTGCAAGAATTTCGTCTTGACTTACCCCTGCTGTAATGAAGACGGAGCATTGTTTAGCCACGGCAGATAGCGGGAGACCGCCTTGTTGTCGCGGGAGTTACCCCTGGACATCTCAAGTGCCAGGTACTGGGCCACTGCGCCCTTCAGCACGCCGCCCAGGGTGTCCTCGCCCAGGCCATTGCTTGTCTGGCCGTTCTTGAAATTCTGCAAGAGCAGAAGGTGCTCTCAGTTAGCGAGTGGTATAACGACATTTGGAAAGAGTTACCTTAATCTTGCTGAGTGTATGGAAATCTGCCAGAAAGTCGATCACATCGTTGATGTACTGCCTCAAGCAGTCGGCGGCATTTGTGGTCAGCACAGGAGCGGCGTCTGGTAGATCGGGCAAGGCACCTGGTGGTAGAGTGCCGCCCGCATCGAGTAGAACGAATCCGATGATCATCAGCAGATTGTGATCGGGGATGTTCGACTTGAACTTCAGTGCCTGCACAAACTCAAAGATCATTTGCCGACAAAGTAAGTTCTTGTCGCGATCCTTGTTGAAGGATCGGGTGCTCAGCGTGCACAGATCGTAGAGAGTTTGGTATTCCAAATTGGTGTGCTGCACACAGTAGGCCATAATCTTGGAGTACGGATCCAGCAGAGTTTTGGGCACGCAGTTCAAGCGCAATGTGGCCACAATCAGATCCAGCATATACTCGGCATTGCTGAGGCTGGGCATGATGACAATCACCTGACGCAGCAACGACTCCACGGCCTGCATGGCCTGTGACCACACAGCAAGGCCGACTCCTGCCTCGACGGGCACACACTGAAGATACTCGGCCATGTTTCGAAAGATGATGGGCAGCTGATCGATGGGCAGGGCCTTCTTCGAGGTCAGAGAGTCGCAGACCATATAAATGGGACTGGTTGCATTTAGATCCTGGAAGTCCTGCAACGCTTTGGCAATGCTGCGGAAATGGTTGTGCCGTATCTTGACTGCAAACCGAACGAGTTATTAAAGATGATCCACTCCACTCCAATATGCGGCCAACTTACTTTTCATTTGGGTCTGGAATACCTGCAGAAAGATTCCATTGGGCGCCAGCTGATGTAGAACGCAGCGGATGAATTGCAGTGCCACGGCCTGGGCGCTGCTAGCCAAGGGCGGCCCGTTCTCGCCTTGCCAGGAGTGCGTGCCACTCAGACAGATTCTACAATGGATCACAATGCAATGAACGGCAATGCAAGGAAAGTAATTTCGATTGACTACACTCACCGTGATGTCATGGTCAGCACCTCGGGCAGGAAGGGCGCTGCTATCGCTGGCTCTCGGTGAATGAAGGTGCCTAGGATTACGATGAATATGCCAATCTCTTCGTCTGTATACTCCTCGATGACAGCGCCGCAATCGGAGCAGCGGTCCACAATAGTATAGTTACCAACGCGTCGCGAGCTCTGTCGGGAAACGGAAGAGGACTTATTAAATATGAATTTATGATCAACTTGAATATACCCTGTAATTCATGTCAAACATTTTATGTTTTCAACTAGAAGTAAAAGATTTACTTACCCCTCGCTGGGCGTGGGCCGTTGAATGCGCCGCGTGTCCATTCGCAGCTTCGGGCGAGTCTTCGCCCTCTTCGTCGTGCTCCTCGGTTGGCTGGACAGGCGGTGGAGGTGGCCAGGAGCCGGCAAAGCGCGAGCGTATGTCCGGTATGGCATTGGTGTCCACATTGAAAGGCGCCAGCTTTTGCCTGGGTCGTTTAACGCTATTCGAGGTGGTCGATGTTCCAGTGGCCTGCGGCTGACGCTCGCTGGACTGCTGCCTTAGATCTTGTGTGACGTTTTTCAGAATGGATGTGTGCAGATCTTGATGGGTCTGTGACTGCGGCAGGTGTTGGGACGGTGCCACTGGAGTTGCAACTGGTGCATTGGGGTTGGGCGGTGACTCGAGAGCCACCTGCTTTATGAGTCGCCGGGGCGAGTTGTTGCGACTGCTGTGGGTGACATCATCCTTGGTGCTTTCCGACACGTCCAGGCTGTCCTGCTTGAGGTGACTTATGTCCGGCAGGTTGAGCCCATCTCGCATGCGCTCCACCAATGTGGCAACCGTATCCTGTGTGCCAATGGGCAGCAGTCGCTCAGGCGTTGGGATCTCCAATGCGGCAATATTCTTGGATGGTGGCAATAGACTCGCATCCAGCTCGTCACATGGATTGGGCATTACACTCATCTTTGACAGCGGCGAGTCCGGTGAACCATATGGCTTGTCGGTGCGCTTCAACGACTTTGTCTGCGACTTCTTCTGACGTGAGTCATCGACTGACGAGCTGGATGTGGCGGCGCTGCACTCCACGATGGTTTTGTGGCGTCCAATGGACTTGGCAATGTTGGAGGCCAGTGTGGCGGTGGCCCCGTTTGTGGAGCGATTGCCGTTGCCAGTGGTGCTGCTGCTGGTGCTGGGCTTGCTGCCACTGGTTGTGGGCACGTCTTGCAGCGCGCCCAGCGCTTTCAGATGATTGGTGGCGATGGCTGCGAACATTTTAGACGTAGAGGCAGCTGCGTTCTCCAACGACTTGTTGCGCACGGTAACCGCACGATGCACATCCACAGGCGGGCTAACAATCGCTGTCTCCGTCGTCTCGGATCCGACTAGAGGCGTCACTATCATGCGCACACCCTCCTGGAGGCTGTGGCGTGCGTGGGTGGTTACCACGGTGGTGCTAACGGACTCGTTGGTCTTTATCTTCGTTGAGTACGTGTCCCCGGTTTTGGTGGTGATCATGGACTTGGGCGCTTTGGATTTCTAAATTTGTAAAAATTCAATACGTTAGAAACCAGACGAATCGAAGATATTAAAGATATGGATTTACCTCTTCGGAGTATTCAATTGTACGGCGATTCCTCAGTGACTCTATTTTTGTGGGCAACATATCGTCAAAGTGAATGGCATCATCAAAGGAGCCCTAGGGAAGAAAGACAATTAGTCTGGAGCTTGGACAATGTTAGTAATTAGATTTACCGGTGCACTGCTGCCATGAAGTGTGCTGTCGGAGAGATCACTCTCGGGTATGGCCACCAGTTCAGACTCAGTTTCATCCGCATCCAAGCTGGAGTCGTTGTACTTGCGGAAGGCGTGCTGCAGTTTGGGCGTGAAGGCGACGTTTTGACCCTTGCTTTTGGAGGCGGCGCTAGTGCCTTCAGACGGGAACATGGGACTGGCCGGAGGACTTGCCTCTTTGTCATCGGGATCTGTGCCCAGAGAGGGCTGGCTAACGTCGCGTGATCGTGCTGCACCGCCAACGCTGGTCTGTATATCCAGTATGGTGGTGGTGGGGATGCGTCGGCACTGGTGGAAGTGGCCGCGCAGGCTGTTCATGATCATGCGAATGGCCGAGATGACATATCCACTGAGCGGTGGTTGTGTATAGGAGTACTTGTAGAGCACGACCAGCAGGGTGAAGAGCCAATTGCGACGCGGATACTGCTCCAGATACCACAGCGAGTAGTTGAAGACAATATTCTGATACGATTCGCCCGAAGTGCTTGTCGGATTGGGTGCATACAAAATGATCTGCATGACGGACGGCAACATGAGTCCTCCAATTAAATGATTCTGATCCAAGACTTGCGGCAAGTTGGCCAGAAATGCATTGAATACGGCTGAAACACTGCAAAGAGTAACGAATATTAATATCTTTTATCGTAGTGAATTACGCCATTAGCTTACCGTAGTGATTCCGGCGTGGTGTGGAAGGTCTTGTCGATTTGATTGTGGCCCAGAAGTAGGAACAAATGCTTCAACACAATGTTCTGCGTCCTGGTCATGGGCTTGTCCTCGGATGGAAAGGCCTGATCTGTGCGGGACATGAACTGCATCAGCATAAAGACCAGCAAGTGAATTGTCTCTCGATCCGATTCCTCTAACTCCGTAATGCGGCTAAGTAGTCCAATCAGATTCTCATCGTTGAGTCCACCTAGCGAGTGGATATGGCCATCTAATAAAAATTTAATAAAACAATTTATTAATGATGAAATTAATAAAATTCTCAATTGGAGGAGAGGAAAGTAAACATCGATTTCGAATAGACTGTATTTTTTTTTGTTTTGTTTTTTTTTTTTTTTTTTTTTCAATTTTTTTTTTTTTTTTTTTT